GAGGGCTGTGGGGAGTGAGGGAGAGCTGTGGGGAGTGACGGTGTGAGTGAGGGCTGTGGGGAGTGAGGGAGAGCTGTGTGGAGGAAGACATGAAGCCACTGGACCAATGTTGGAAGAAGCCAAAGTGAAAGTACAGAAACTCGGAGCCTATTTTTATTTTTACAAAGTTAAGGCAAAATGTAAGGGACAAGTGCCCCATGTGAGTTTTTGGATTACCTTTCAAAAGGATGTGTGGAATTGTCTGCAGAGCCCTCGGTGATGGTCCCTGATTGTGAGAGATGTTGTCTGGTCAAGACGAAAGCTTGTTCTACTGTCAGAAACATGGGCATTGCAAAAATCCGAGCCAAGCTGAAGAATCTTGAGGCACAGAGATCATTCCCAAGAGAACAAATACTTCCCCCCTGGCTGCATTGGGAATCAGCTCTGAGCATTGACCCTGAAGACGCTGGAACGCTATTGGGAAGCAGAAAATGGTGGAAAATCCCAGCAGATCCCGACTCACTGAGTTGATCAAGAACTCTCTGTTTCTGTTTCTGAAAGCTTTAATCTGGTGTGAATTCCTTGCACTGAGGAATCTCAGTTTCTTTTTCTGTGCTGTCCATCCCCTTGATTCTAGTTACTGTTGGGGTGAATGGGGAGGGGGGGAGGGTGGGAAGATGTGGGGCTTAGGGTGGAAGATGGATGAGGAGGGAGGTTTAAGGTGCTGGATGTATCGATAGCTGTGTCAGGCAGGTTGAGGGGTTGGGTTCATGAGGGGATAGTGGGTTGGGGCAGGGTTAGGCAGCTGGGTTGTGGGCTGGATGACAGCTTGGGATCTTGCTGATGGTGCCACTCTGTGTCAGTGGTGAAAGGAGTGATTGTTTGAAGACGTAGCTCCAATTAAATGGACTGTTTTGTCCCGGATAGTCAGAGAACCGGAGAGGTCGGCAGCACTGTAAAAACTCCCTTCACCCCATCTCCTCTAATCCAATCCCATTTTCTAGAACTTGGCCTGTTGCCCTGTATGCCTTGCCATCACTAAAGCACTCTAAATATTTCTTAAACGTTGAGGGGCTCTGCCTCTACCATCTTTACATGCAGTGAGTTCTGGATTCCCACCACTGTCTGGGTGAAAAGCATTTTCCTTACATCCCCTTAAACCTTTCACCCCCTTACCTCAAATCTATGCTGTTCTACCCCCCCCCCCCCAAAAAAGAAGTCATTGATCGTCTACCATAAGGAAGAGCTCCTTCCTCACTACCCTGATAATTTCATACATCTCAATCATGTGTCCCATCCTCGACCACCGAGGGTCCCCCTCCCACTTCAAAAAATCACCTGTACTTCAGCGAAAACTACTCCACCCCATCTGTCCAATCTGTCTTCCTCACTAGAACTCTCCAGTCCAGGCACTATCTTGGCATCTCCTCTGCACTCTTTCCAGTGGATGGTGTTAAACTTCTTGAGTTTTGTTGGGGCTGCACTCATCCAGGCAAGTGGGGAGTATTCCATCACACTCCTGACTCGTGCCGTGTAGATGGTGGATAGACCCTGGGGAGTCAGGCCAGTGTAAATAATCTGTTTCAGTGGTTGAGGAATAATTGTTGGGCAGGACACGTTGGGGGAAAGAATCCTTGACCTTTATTTTTGAGGGAATGGTGGGGACTCAGTACGCTCCCTCGTTGGAAAGTGTAGCGCTTTCGGATAGTGTAGCACTCCCTCACTACTGTGCTGCTGCGTCAGACTGGATTTGTCCTCCAGCCCTTTGAAAGTTCGTCGTTCCCAACCGTTCAAACAGAGCCATGAAAGAGTTAACGATTCGCACAGACGGGTGTCATCAGGTGATGTCAATGAGCCCTCACTTTGATCGGGAAGTTACCATTGTTTTAGTTTGAAATCTGTTTGTAAATGGAGAGAAATGTGAAGCCATGGGAAAGATGCATACAGTCAAGAGATGTATAAATATGTGACCAAGCCATCACATTGCCTTATCTTGTGGCACCGACGAGTTTATATAATTGCCAAGTGATGGCTTTATTCATTTCCCATTTTTTCTTTTGCCGTTCACAGGAGGGTGGAAAGTGAGAACTCATTTTGAGGACTTTTAATTGTACTGATGTGGAAGCAATTTTTAATCTTCATTTATGCAGTGTTTATGATGAGGTCAGATTCACTGTCCAGAGCTCTCAGAAACGCACCAGGGCTTAATGGGAAATGTTTGTGGAGGCTGGCTGCTTTTAAAACAAAAAGGTTTCAGGACGCCATAGCAGTTGCAATGGGCCGAAGGACCTCTCCTGTACTGTACGGTTCTATGGGTGACGATGCAGACTCGTAAGCTGCCATCACTCATTATAATCATCACTTATCGAAGCCTATAATTAAAAGAGAAAGTGTTGAAAAACGCTCAGCTCAGCAGCTGAGAGAGAGAGACACACAGAGGGGAAGAGGTGAATGCAGGGTCAATGTTTCATGTCAATGACCTTTCATCAAAATTTTCTCAAAATAATAAAGCTTTGGGAATTTCCTTGCTTAAAGTTCATGGGAATTGAATTGAATTGAATCATTTATTGTCATGTATATTCAATGTAAAAATACAGTGAAGAATGTGTACCTTTGCTGTACATACATGGTGCCAATTCACATTAACTTAGAATAAGATAAGAAAAAACAATAACTTAAGAGAGTCCAACTTTCCTTTCCACTGACATAGTCCCGCTCCGGGCTTTCCGGCCCTCGCCGTGCCTCCGCCAGCGTACCGCTCCGGGCTGCCTCACTGGCCCCGCTCTCACCGTCCCCGATCTCACCGTCCCCGCTCTCACCGTCCCCGCTCTCACCGTC